CTGCAACTCCTTTGTGGCCTGCACTGGCCATCCCAGGCCCTCTCCTGGCCTCCTACAACTAGTGCATGGCCTGCGCCAGCCCTCCCAGGCCCTCCTTGGCTTCCTCCATCCCCTGTGGCACTCCCACACTCCTTACCTGGGGCTCCCGCCTCTTCCTGCTTAACAACCTACACATCTTGGGGTTATGACAGCAACCGGGACTGCCCGGGATTGCTGTTCCTAAGTGATGTGGTCATGTGATATTGCATTTACAACTGCATTGCTTGGTGATGACAATCCTGGTCCCAATTGGCATCGTAACCAGAGGACTACCTGTAGCCTATATCAGTAGAGTTGTAGTATTTCTTGTGATGCTGTCTCCTGACCTGACCTACCTTGAAGGGCTGATAGTACTGGATCATAAATTAACCACAGAGATAGACAGTGCATTGCACTACAAACTAACCAACCATGTTTTGGTTACTGTGTTGTATAATCCAGCTAGAGTCTGGACCAGGAATCTACAGTATAAAGTAGGGCTAAAAAAGTCAGGAATTCAAACATGAACCTGTTCACAGTCATTAGCTAGTCATCTGCTGATGTTTGACTGAACTAGTTAGAGTGACTGTTTGCAAGCACGGTTTTTCTTCTGTTCGGTTATTTTTGAGGTACCTTGCAATCCAACTATTTTTCTTATTCCAGCTCTATGTATTTATACTCTTCAGGAGTCTGCACTCCTGAGGTTTGGTGAGATTCATCCTCCATATCTGAGTCAGGTGCTTTCCTTCCTAGTGCCTGCCAAGACCAGCCTCCATTAAGTATTGCTCCATAACCATAGTTTTAGGAATACTTTGCTGCCCAGACTTGAATAGGCTGGTATTTTGAGGCTTTATCACTAGCTGTTTCCACTAACACTTTTGTTTTTGCCAGAGAATCGATCATGTGATCCATATAGCTATAGAATGACTGTTTGCTCCTCTGTTGCATCCTTAATTAGCCATCATAGGCTCACTATCTGTGTCTCAGCTGAAGCTTCATTTGGCAGGTCTCCAACAGTAGTTTCTTCCTATTAACAGTACAGGTAGTCCTCAACTTATGACCACAATTGGGAATGAAACTTCTATCACTAAGTGATGCAGTCATTAAGTTGGTCGGACTCAATTTTATGACCTTTTGCTGCGGTCATTAAGCGAATCACTGCAGTTGTTAAGCAAATTCTGTTTCCTACATTGACTTTGCTTGTTGGAAGCCCCCGGGAAGGTCACAAATGGCAGTCACCTGACCCTGGGATGCTGCAACCATCATAAGCACATGCTGGTTGCAAAGTGCCTGAATTTTGATCACATGACTGTGCGGATGCTGTGATGGTCGTATGTGCAAGGACCGGTTGTAAGTCGCCTTTTTCAGTGATGTTGTAACTTCAAATGGTCATTAAATGGATGATAGTAAGTCAAGGACTACCTGTACAGGTGTCCTTTGTCTCATTATTTGCAGTTCTGTGTTTTCACAGTTACAGACCAGACCTTGGTATATGTGATAAAGGTTTTCCCATATCAGTGATTTTGGTTTTGTTTTTTGCTACAAATTTGCAGATGAGCTTTTGCACATGCATAAAACACTTTTTAAAGTGGATAGTTCAAAGAACCATATACAAAAATGTATAAACCATCATGGCTGATTTACACAATCTGCAATACTAGAACCAAGCAAGCCACATGTTGGTTTTGTATATTTTGTGAAGCCAGTCTCTCTAAGGTACATGGACCTTGGATGTAAAAATAGTGGAGAAAATGCCAGTGGTGCAGCTGAAATTTGGTAATCACTAATAACCAGAAAAGATGTCATTCTCCAGAACTTGTAATGTGTAACATTGACCAGAAATAAGATGGAATGGAATGTGGGTTTCATATACCTATGTCCAAAGCCTATTATATGCTTCTTCTATATTATTTTTAATTTAGGCCTTAAAGGAACATTATTTCCTCTACAAGGACTTTGAATGCCCTCTCCTCCCATATATATCTTTTGCATAAAAGTTTGATTTGATTATGATATGCTATATTAAATGAAAACAGTTAAAGACGTACTATTGCAACAAAATTAGTAATATGGATATACTGTATAGCAGTTTTAAAAAATTCTGAGGGTTTTTATTACAGTTTATGAAGAGTGGAAGATTCTTAAACCATTTATATTACTCTTACAGGGAAAAATGGTATTTCTGCAGATGCTGCATTGAGGTTTATTAAGATAACCTTCAGTTATGAGGAATGGGATTCATTTGATCATGCAGCTGTACTGTTTTTTTCATTTCTTCAGGTAATGAATTTCATTAGTTTTATTCAATTCTGTAACACAATCATAGACCCTGTAGTTTCATTATTATTTTTTTAAAAAGCTATATATTAATTCTTATTTCTTTAAATATCAGAATCAGAGTAATCCAAGATGGAAGAAAGCAGAAGCAGAACTCAGACTACTACTTGTAATGCAGAATTTGTTGTCTACAAGAAAAGCAAGGCATGGTTTGTGTATTCAAGGAGATAATATCCGAGAAACAGCTGCTTTTCGTAGTCCAGGGAAAAAATACATAGCATTTCTAGGTGGGTTCCAGATTACCACTAGAGTGATTAACTGTACTTCATTAATTTAGCTAACTCAAGGTCTTTCTGTCAAATAAAATAATCAGTTATTTGGTATTTCTAAAATTTGTAACACTTTTAAATTAATTTATTGCAGTAGTGACCTGGTTCCAGTACTAGCATATTGCTATTGCAATGCTGTTGTAAATTGCATTAATAGTATAGATATGCTGCAGTAATGGCTACTCTAAATCTTGAATGCTTGAATTGATGGCACAACAAGATCAGATATTACTTTAGTTTTGATCAACCTATTATTTTACATTCTGTTAAAAAAAACCAAACAAACCCTAGACCATTGGTTCTCAACGGGGGCGGCACCGCCCCCCGGGGGGCGGTGGGAGGATGCTGAGGGGCAGTGAATTTATTTTGGGCGGTAGGGGAGCGGTGGGCATGTTTTGGGAGGTAGAGGGGCGATGAGCATGTTTTGGCATTCGAACTTAATTTTAAAACT